AGTTACAAGAAAGACAATTTTGTCCCTCATAGAAGATGGGACACATAACTTAAACTCAGATACAATAGACATTTCACTTTCAATAAGATACACCAGAATGACCAAAATACCCCTGACTCGAGCATTCTAACACTTACTATGAAAATCAAGAAATGCCAAGGTAGTCTAACATGTGTTGTAATGTCTTCACATGGTCACAATACTTTCTTGTGGACTTCCAATAAAACACTAGCATGCAATCAATCAAATGGAAAACCAAATCACTCCGTGAATGCATGCTTGGGTGATTTCATTTTGATGAGCTCACATGCTTAGAATATTTTCTTGTGACTCTCCAATAAGTCGCAAAATGCTAATAATTAAATTTAAAACCAAATCACCTTGTGAGTGCATGCCTAGGTGATTTGGTTTCGATTAGTCCACATGGTCACAAAACTTTTTTCAACCCTCCAATAAAACATAGGCGTTCTATCAATCANACAAAATTATCTAGTGAGTGCATGCCTAGGTGATTTGGTTTCGATTAGTCCACATGGTCACAAAACTTTTTTCAACCCTCCAATAAAACATAGGCATTCTATCAATCAAATGGAAGACGAAATTATCTAATGAGTGCATGCTTGTTGCTACCCCAAGTGATACATGAACTACCTGCTATCATATGATAAAATGGATATTACCTCTAGGATCCACTACCTTATACTAATGAATTCACATAGTTAAAGGATAAATCAAATCACCCAATGACTGCATGCCTAGGTGATTTGGTTTTCATGAGTTCACATGGTCACAACAATTTATTGCAACCATCCAATAAAACACAAACATAACTGCTATCAATCAAATGAAAATCCAAATAGCTAGTGAAAACATGTCTACTATTGCTACACTAAATGATACAAGAACAACCCACTATCATATAAAATAGAGACTACCTCTAGGATATACTACCTAAGTATGACAATCAGGTAATACCGAGGTAGTTTAACATGTAGAGTGATGCCCAAGTGATAAGGCACTCATGAGGGGTCGTCTCACTTAATTTCCAAGATATTTTTTACATGGCATTGTTGGATATTCTTATGTTCTTAACTTTCTGAAGTTATAACAATATAACAACGTTATTAAACTAAATTATTCAGTTTGAGTTAAAATACTAGTTTCTTTTTATTATTTTTCTTATTTGTTAGGGTTCAACCAAGATGTATACTGTGTTTCTTTTTTTTTTCTTTTTTTTTTTTGAGAAGGTAAACTTGTGTACTGTATTGAACCCTTGAAGACTTCAAAACCTCAACTTCATGGAAGAACTCAAAATTTTGTCTAGTAAACACATTGATTTTTTATTCTTTGTTTTCTTTTCTTCCTTTCCTAGGACAAATAGGGGCTCGGCCCCTCTTTTTCTAAAATTTCTTTTCTTTCTTCTATGTTTCTCATGAATATGTTGATTTTCTATGTTTTAAATGAAGTTTATACAGTTTTTTATGAACATTATGGATAATTAATAGTGAAAGATGGTTGGTGCTTTTTGAACATTATGGATATCACCTAGCCTCACCTCGGCTCCTTGAAAACTATGCTTGATGCAACTCCCCTCCATTAAGGGTTGTGACTAGTGGTGTAAGACAAACTAGACAAACTCGCACCAGCAGAGTTTCTATAATTCCATTTGAAGTGATCTCATTCTCATGTCTCAAAATTAAATTCCATAATTCCATTGGAGCAAGTGTTTTGGGGTAATCTATTGTAAGGCTTCACTTGGACTTACAAATCAGCAAATGGATTAGCTGATGCAATGGCTAGGCAAGGAGTAAACAGGGAATAGATGTTTTGGGATGATCTATTGTAAGAATGAAAAGGTTTGGGCAAGTGTAATCAATCTCACATGGATGGTTAATTGAGGTTGACCATCCTGTTACAGTTATGTATTTTAACTTTTGAAATTAATAAAATTTCACTGCTACTGATGAAAAAAAAAATCCATTGGAGCAAGTGGTGGGTATCGAGGACCTAACAATTGAGTCGAGGTGTGGAATTACCAAGTTACCATTTAAATATCTTGGATTGTTGGTTGGTGCTAAGTGTACATCCAGTACAATTTTAGACCCATAATCAAACATCTTGAAAGGAGGCTTTCCTTGTGGAACTCCAAGTATTCATCCATTTGGTAAATGGCATTAGTGTTACAAAACAGAAGCATAAAGTAGCTGGAGGCAGCTGATTGAAGCGAAATTTGGTGTTAGAAATGCTAGATGGGACCTAAGACAAGCAATTTCATCATTTAGATGCTAAGTACAAAAAGGAATAGAGAGCCCATGATTCTTTTATTAAGGGGGCAATATACAAGATGGTAATGGATTCAAAATTCATTTCCGGTTGGATGTTTAGTGTAACACCAGACTTCCCATGGACATTTTTTTTTTATCAATAACACCATCTTCATTAAATTAAAAGAAGAGAGGGAATAAGTATACAAAGGGGGAGATAAAATAACTTAGCTCCCCAAAAACAGAAAACAAAGGGAATGCAAAGAAAAGGATTAAAACTAGCCCAAAAAACAAACTCCCTATTCACTCCTTGCTTGGCCAACCCATCCGCAAATGAGTTGGCACTCCTCTTCACCCAGCTGTACTGAATCTCAATGTCCCGACCCAGCCATAAGAACTGTTTTTTTTCATTGTTAAAGTTCCACAAACCACTGTCCTCTGTCTTCAACCAACTAACCACTTCCCATGGACATTTTCCCAAATCTTTATGCAAATTCAGAAGATAAGGAGGGAGTACACAACTATAATTTGGTGACAGCTGTTTGGACTCCAAAGTTCCACAGATATCTTCATGACTGGGAAATTCTTGTAGTTGCAAAACTTCTTGCTAAATTGCATAGCTTTCACCTGAATGCAAGCGCTATGGACTAACATGTATGGAGATGGAACATTTCAGGTATGTTTTCAGTGAAACCCTTTTGTAATTTGTATACATCTAGCTCCTCCAGCAAGCAATACATTCCCCTTCAAGACAGGGCCCAGTACCCTCCAAGATAGCCATTCATGACCTGGATTTCTATCTTGGTGAAGTGTATTGCCAAGAGCAATACTTCCAGCTGCACATTTTGCACTCTAGGTCATATTGGCAAATCACCTTTTTCTCTATTGCTAAATCAGTTAATGGATTTGTGGCTAGTTCCTTTGACACTACATCAACTGATGCTTTTCAAAAATGTTGCACGAAACCTTGACAAGTTGGTATGTTAGAGCTCTTAATAAAAGGGGAGCTAGCCTGGAACAAATGAAATGCAAGGACTTAGACAAAAAATGTTCTCAAGAAGCTGATATTATAAGGAGAGCATTGCTATGGTTTGCTCATGGCTTTAAGTGGTGAAGGTATTTACGAATGTCCCTCAATCATCTTTCTTTTCTATTGGTTCATTTCTTTAATATAGTGAACTATTTGTATATTTGTTGACAAGGGAATTGATTTTATGTACAGTCACTGTATATGGATCAAAAAAATGTGTTATGTCTACCCTTGAAAGTTCTAATAGAAATAATCACCTTATCTTTCTCCAATAAAAAATAAATGGTAAACTTTAAATACTAATTAGGGGTAAAAGATAGAAAATAGGAAAGAAAAGAAATTTTGATTAGAAAGAATTGGCATTTGGATAACTCTGCCAAATATCTACATGGATTTTTTATTGCTAATAGGAACTCAGTGGATGATTTTTACATATAAATGCATTATTTTCTTTCAAACATGTTTGAGACATTTTCACATGTAAAGATAAGCATGCTTTTGGATGTTGTAATGGAACAGAAAGAAGCAAACCGTGCATACTCTTTGCGTCTTTCCTCATCAACTGGGGGTGGAGTGATAAGCACTACCAACATGGTAGGGGAACATTCCTATCCACAAACATTTCAAGAGACAGCATTTAGAAAAATAGCAATAAAAAGCAAACAAGATAGAAGCTGACTATAATTAGACCCTCCTATCACAAATCAGAATTCAAACTACAATGAAGTGCCACCTCAATAAGTTATCATGCATTTCATTACAGAGCTCTTGAACGTAAGCTGCTAAGCTGTCCTAACAACCAGGTGAAGTTTTACTGCTAACAACATAACTAGGTTTAAGACCATTTTTGCATGGCAATTCTAAAGCCTAGATCTGATTAAAAGTATTTAGCAGAAGATAACAAACCACCATGCTTTTGAAATATTAAATAAATCTTTTTGAACCTTGAGGTGCTTGACAATTCTTCTGATATTCTCCTTGTACTCTTCAATAGGAACATGTTGCCTTTCATTGTTCCGCCCTAAAAGGGCTGCATCATTAGCTCCAAAGAAAACTGTGGTCGCAACAGGAGGCGTTACACAGCCCTACAAAAAAAAGATATAAAGACCACCAATGAATTTCAGAATGGAGCAATGACAGTAAAAAATTACAGGGAGTCAAATATTTTTCTTATCAAGGAAAGTTGAAGGTTAAACAGATAAAAGAAAGTAAATTCCATATTTAGTAACTCTAGATAAACCTTCAGGTTTCAGATGATGAGTCTAAAAACCATTCCCTTTAATGTATGAAAAGAAAAAGGTTAGCTGTTGCACCCAGTAATTAGATCTTTGAGGTGATG